ACAAATCAGCTTGCCAAGTCCCAGGTGTACATAACATGGCTGGATAACAATTCAACTGAAAAAAGACCTGGAGGGTTTTAGTGCCTTTAATGACACTCTCCCCACCCAGCTTCTCCCAGAAACAAATACCTACTTTTTATTTTTTAAACAACAGCATGCTTCAAGAATGTTGAAGTCAGGGCTTCAAGGAAGAACTGTGTATCAGAAGTGGCATGTGGCCGTCAGATAAATAAATATATGACTGGAAAAGCAGGCAGGCTAGTCATGTGGTAATACCGAGGGATAACTGTGAATAGCATGTGCTGTTCAAATACAGCCAAGAAAGCTGGACAAAGGCCCTCAGCATGCTGTGGAAGATTTATGGGGTAAAAGGACCAAGGAGTGAAAGAATGTCGATGGTTTGTGATCTACATGGTGATGAGTTCTGTGAAAGTATCAAAGCAAATATAAGTCTTGCACTCAAGTTAAAAAAATCAACTTCACAAATACAAGGGGGGGGTATATGGCTATTCAGTCACGGCTGATCTTTGTGACCCCATTTGGGGTTTTCTTGGCAAAGATAGTAGTTTGCCATTTCCTTCTCTAGATCATTTTACAGATGAAGAAACTGAGGCAAACAGGGCGAAGTGACATAGTTATTAAGTCCCTGAAGTCACATTTGAACTCAGGTCCTGACTCTAGGCTTGGCACTCTATCCACTGTGCCACCTAGGTGCCCACCAGCAGTATGATATGACAGACAAAAAAAAAAGTACTGTGACCATAGAGCACCTTAATAGAGGCATTGATATTAATATTCAGAAGCAGGGAGTTGAGGGGCCCCACTGTACCTTGTCATGGTCAGATTACTTCTAGAATACTGTGAAAATAGTGGGCATCTCTTATGACTTCTTTCTTTTCCTCTTATTCTATGTTTTACATTAAATAAAATGAAAAACTCTTTTATCATTCTCTCTCCACTTTGCCACATTCTCTGAAGAGGTGGCCTTTTTCTTAGCCAAGGCCAACCTCATTTATTTCTTTCATGCCTATTCTCCCTGGAAATCTCTCTCTCCTTCTCTTTCTCTGTCCCTCTCTGTCTCTCTCTGTCTGTCTCTGTCTCTGTATCTTCAATCCCTCCTTATTTCCTGGTTTCTTTCCTGATGTCTACAAAACATACCTGAGTCTCTCTATTCCTAAAAACAAAAATAAAATAAAAAAAAAACACACAAAAAACCCCCAAACCTTTCCGTTTCAGAGTTCTGATCAATGCAACGAAAAACGAGGATTCCAGAAGACTGGTGGTGGGGTATGCTTCTCTCCTCCTGACAGAGGGTAAGTGCACTCAAGGTGCAGAAGGAGACAGACGTCTTTGGACATGGCCAATGTGTGGATTGATTTTGCTTGACTATGATTGTTACAAGGATTGTGTTTTTCTTTCTTTTTTTAATTGAAGGAGTAGGAGAGCTATCTATAGTGCTGCAAAAAAGAAGGAAGAGGAGGAGAAAAGAGGGTGATTGAAGCATTTTTAAAAATGTCCAGAAGAACAGAAGGAAATATGTAAAGAAACACAGACAAGTAGGACATCTTTGGAAATCACGCCTTGAATTTACTATCTACTATAAAAAAGCACACTGTATGTAATAGAGAGTCATCGTTTTGTATGTAATTCCCTTTTTTTTGTCAAACTTTATATATGGAAATGTTGTTTTTTGGTGCTAGCTTTGCCTGGAATTTTTATAAAATTAGATTTTAAAAAATCTCTTCAAATGCCCCTGTCACATCCACCCTCTTCCCATTCCCAGCAAAATTCTTGCCTTCACATCCTCACCGCCCACAAACTTCTTAGCCTCCAGCCATCTGGCCTCTGATTCCACCACTAAATTATCACTTTTCTCTCTCAAAGGTTAGTAACGAGTTCTTAATCACCAGAGCCTTTGAGCTTTTCTGAGTCCTTATCCTTCCTGCCCTCCACCCCCACCCCCACCCCCTGCAGGCTTTCACCCAGCTGACCATGCCCTCATGCCCAGTAAGTTTTCCTTGAAAGTGGCATTAGCTGTTTTACATCTGTATGGAGGAAGCTAGGTGGCCCAGTGAATAGAATTCTGGGTCTAGACTCAGAAAGACCTGAGTTCAAACGTGCACTCAGACACTAGCTGTGTAACCCTAGGCAAGTCACTCTATTTGCCTCAGTTTCCTTATCTGAAAACGGAGATAATAATAACAGGGTTGTCGGGAGACCCAAATGAGATACTATTTGTAAAGTGCGCTTAGCACAGTGTCTGCCACATAACAAGTGTTTAATAAATGTTCCTTTCCTTCCTGTATTCCCATCTCTTAGTGCATTTGCACATGCTTAATAAATGTTTGTTAAGATGAACTTGAATTCCAGTTCCTAGTCTCTGCCCTAACACCTAGCAGTTAGCTCAGTGCCTCTCTTCGTTCTCACTCATCCAACCTGTTGTCAAATTTTGTCATTTCTACCTTTGTGGCATTTCTCTTATACTCTTCTTTCTCTACACACACACACACACACACACACACACACACACAGCTACCCACCAACTTCAACTATCAAGAATTCATACTGTGTACATGTGGTCATATGTATTTGTTGCTGTTCAGTTGTTTTTTTTAATAGTGTCCAATTCTTTGTGACCCCGTTTGGGGTTTTCTTGGCAAAGACACTGGAATGGTTTGCCATTTCTTTCTCCAGCTCATTTTACAGAGGAGGAAAACTGAGGCAGACAGGGTTAAGTGACTTGCCCAGAGTCACACAGCTAGTAAGTGTCTGAGGCCAGATTTGAACTCAGAAAGATGAGTCTTCCTGACTCCAGGCCCAGAGTTCTATCCACTGGGTCACCTAGCTGCCCTATATAAATATGTGTGTGTGTGTGTGTGTGTGTGTGTGTGTGTGTGTGTATGTGCATGTGTTTGTATGACTATGTGTATATATGTCTTTTTGTGTGTATATGTCTCTGTGTATACATATGTCTCTGGGTGTACATATATGTATACAGTAATTAGGTATGAGACTATGTATGCTGTAATTATGATTGAGGGTGGGGCTCATGTTCTCCATTTAAATTCACTTATTAAACTGAATTTCGCTTTTTAAAAATTCACTAGTGTATTAAACATTTTACCACTTGTTTTCCACTAACAGGTTAAAGACAAAATTATCCTCTCCCACCCTAGCGGAAGTGCTAGCAATATGCATTAAGGCTTCCCTAGTTTGAGCTAAGATACCTCTATCTAGAGCCTTAGCGGTCATTTAAATACAATGTAGCAGGTCTGTGCCTGGTGACCTTGGCTTTGTCAGTAAGTAAGTGCCAAGGGCGGTCCACAAGTAGGCAGAGTGCTTCTGAGGCTGATGAGGGCGCAGCCTCCCCAGAAGCCCAAGGACTTGGCGCCTCGGTTGCCTTAGAGACCTGCGAGTCTCCCCAGGTGCTCCAGGGCACTTGGGAGCAGTTAGGGCGTCTAGCAAACAGTCCCCCAGTAGTGTTGCTGAGGGAGTAGTTTTCCAAACGTAGGCTCTTCTTGCCATTGAAACTTCCTCCTGCCCTGGCCCTGACGCGGGTGAGTTTGGGTCGGGGATGTCCCCTTTGTGGGGAATGGAAGGGGCTGGGGAAGAGCACAGGAAATGATGCAACGTCCTGTCTTTTCAAATTTAGTTTCCCCCCAGTGTGGAGGCTTTTACCGGTGCTGCAGCTGAGTGTCCCTAAATGGTAATTATGAAGCCTCTAACTCCTGCGGTCTGCCCCACCACCTGCAGCTTGTAGCCTCTTGTAGAAAGACGCTAAGAATCTTGGCACCGCTATTGCGACGGCTTGGCGGGTGTTGGGAGGTCAAGGATGGGTCACATGGTCTTGGGTTTGGGCATCTTATTAATTTCTTTTCTGATACCAGGCATGTGACCCTAATCCCCTTCTCTTCTTGGTTACCTTATCTGCAAAATGGGGACAACACTTGGGGAACCGGGTGAGGAAAGCCTTTCTAAGCCTCCAAAAGTCAGCCCATCCCTAAGCATTTATTAAGCGCCTACCATGTGCCAGACGCTGAGCTAAGAGCTGAGATTGCAAAGAAAGGCAGAAGAAAAAGCCTGCCCTCAGAGTTTACAATGTAACGGGGAGACAACAGGAAAATGACTAGATCCAAAGAAGATATAGCCAGGATAAATTAGAGATAGGCACGACAGTGGATAGAGCACCAGACCTGGGAGTCAGGAAGACTCCTATTCCTGAGTTCAAATGTGGCCTCAGACACTTACTAGCTGTGTGACCCTGGGCAAGTCACTCAACCCTGGGCAAGTCACTTAACCCTGTTAAGTTAGCTGTTAAGGCCCACAGACTGAGACAGGTCTGTGAATTTGGATTAGAAAAAAAAAACTACGTCTTTATTTTCACTGTCTTCTGACGGAAATTTAGTATTTCTTTCAATTATGTAAAGACATTCTGAGGAGGCAATGTCCCCCACCAAAGGGGTTCAAGGTTGAGCTGTCCTTGTCCACGCATGTTTCTGGGACCCCCATTTGGGGTTTTCTTGGCAAAAATGCTGGAGTGCTTTGCCATTTCCTTCTCCAGTGCCTTATGGCTGGCAGAGGTTAAGTGACTTGCCCAGGGTCACACACACGAGGTTGCATTAGCACTCCGGTCTTCCTGCCCCCAGGACTCTACCCCCTGAGCTATCCAGCTGCCTAACGGTGCTAGCTGAGCTCAGGGGGTCTTTCCAGGTTGGAACGCTGCGCCCACACTCCTTCCACTCTGCTTTCCGCGGTCCCTCCCTCGGGTGCCCCCAGCCCCGCTAATTGCTCCCCGGGAGCCCTCGCTGGCGCACGTGCGCTCCGCCGGCCGGAGGCTCCGCCTAGGTCAATGACCGGGGGTTTCCCTCCCCGAGGGACGGGGTGGGTGGGGTCTGGAGGTGGTGGTGTGTTCCCGGCTCCGGGCCCCTGATTGGCCGCGCCACTCAGACCGCGCGCCTGGCCCCGCCCCCGAGGTCCCCACCCTGCCCGGGCGAGGACTCCAGGGTCAGCTCGTCCCGCCGCGGGGGCAGGATCTGGGCCCGCCCCCTCAGCCGGCAAGGACTAAAGGCGGCTTCGCGTGCTGAGCCCGCTATCGCTGCTTCTGCCGCTGCTCGGAGGAGCTGGTGCCAGGCGAGCGGGCGGCTCCCTGCACCCCTAGCTCAGGGTAAGGCGGCTCAGCCGCGGCCAGGCGCCCGGACCACTTCCACGTGCCTGCCACTTCACGGCTACTCACCTGCTTTGCGCGGGAGGAGTGTGTGCGCGTCCTGGGGGCTGGGGGAGACACCCTGGCCTTCTGGCCCTCTGCATAGCCTCCCTGCCTGCCCTCTGGGTGTCTACACATTCCGCCTGCCGTCTGCATCGCTGCATGCCCCCCACCTCCCCGTTGCCTTGTAGCTCCCCTCCCTGCCTTTTGTTTCTGCCTCCAGCCCATGCCCACCCCGTTCTCCCCTTCGCTTCTCTGCTCACCCTCCTTTCCTTTCCCTCCCCCATCCCACTTCCCCGAAGCTCCGAGCATTGGGCTGGGACACCGAAGAGTTTGGTTTGAGTTCCCCGGGTCTGTCATCGTGTGACTTTGGGAAAATGCCTCGGTGGTCTTATCTGTGAAATGTAATGGTTGGACCAGACGGCTTGTAAGAGACCTTGTAGCTTAGATGCCTCAAGGCTGAAACTCCGCTTGGGCTCCTGGTTCTAGCGTTCACGCCCCACTCAACAGCTTTCGGGGGGCGGGGGGGGGCTCCTTGTGGTGGATGGCAGGCTGCCATCGAAGGGGACTTGGGTTTGGGCTGCCTCCGGGGCCTCCACCCCAGCTTCATCACCGGGCAGTTACCACCGCCTTCCCTGGGCACTGTCTGGAGAAGCTGGGGGCAGCCTTCAAAGCCTCCTGACTGAAGTCTGGCAGAGTCTGGGAGCAGAGTGTTAGGGAGGTCCTAGGACTTCAGCGCTAGAAAAGAACTTAGAGCAGCCTATCCCCAGGTTATCATGTTCCTTCTCCCGGCTAGGGAAACTGAGGCACTTAGCAAGTCAGAACTAGCACGCAGATCTGACTCGTGTGCCATTCCTGACCACATCCTTAATTTCCTGGGAGGTTATCTAGGCCAATTCCTTTATTTTACAGGGGTGAAACTGAGGCCCAGAGGCCCAACTAGTGACTTGCCCAGAATCACAGGGGCAGTAATATAGCACTAGTTATATATGTGTGGAGGAGGGTCCTTGGTTGGACTGGTTTGTTCAGAAGTTAGTGGGTCTTAACTGGTCTATGTTCACGGGCACATGCCAAGTTCACGTAAGAATCTTATGGCATTTTGGAATGTTTCCTCATCTGCAGTGGAGATAACATATGAGGGGCTACCTCCCTCTCTCGCTTCCCCTCTCTCAACCTGCAAAATGGGCATAAATAACGCCTGTTGATCTTGTGGAAAAAAACTTTGTACACCTTAAAAAGCCATCATAAATGATTCCTTTTTCTTAGAGGCTCTTGGGGTTGGTGGGAGGTGCCCTTTCTTGGAGGTAAGCTGTTAATCCTTGGAGAAGGGAGCTGATGAAAGGTCTCTTGATAGGACAAGGTTTAAAAAAAAGAAAAGAAAAGAAATGCTCACCCTGGAAACAAGAGCTAAGGAACAGCAGCCCCAGCCCCTGGCTGACTGTCCCAAGAGGCACAAAGATTAAGTGGCCTGAGCCCTCCGCCTTGATTCAGGTGTTAAGGGAAGTTAATCATAATAACAGAGCTCATGTTTCAGTGTGACTGTAAACACTGGCCTCCAGTAGCCTTGTGAGTGGGTGGGGAGTGGCTGGCTTGTCATCTTCCGCTTTCATAGGTGAGGAAGCAGATATTTGACCCTTGTGGCCCTGCAGCAGGGGGCTGTCCAGAGTTGCTGGGGTCAGTGAGAGCCATCTGGAGGCTCAGTCAAGTTTCTCCCCCAGGCTCAAGTATCCCAGATATCAGGTTGGTAAAGGGCTGGGCATTCTTCTTCCTTGTGCTGGTTTTAAAAATCTCCACAACTGGAGGATTTTTGAGGTAGGGCAAGGAGAATGAATTCTAGAACCAAAGACTGTCAGAGGTGGAAGGGCTAGCAGAACAGAGGATGTCCTAGCAAAAGAGACCTTAGAACATGGGAAGTTGGAAGAGACCTCTGAGTGCAGAATGTCAGAGCTGGAAAGGACTTTTTGAGATCACTGGGGTCTTAAGTGAGGCCAATTCCTGGGGAATCTCTCTGGAGATGGGAGAGAGTAGGGTGGGGAGGATCCCAGGATCAGAGATGCATCAGCTCCAGTCATTTGCCTAGATCAGCATTTCTAGATAATGACTACAAACCTTTTTGAGGTCCTAGGCTAAGAGCTCAGTATCTAATGACTTTCCAGCGGGAAAGAACCTTTCTAAAAATACATTTTATTGATATCTTTTGTTTTTTCTAATTACATAATTTCCCCTTGTAGCTCTTCCCCATCCCACAGTACCATCCTTTATAACAAAGAATTTTAAAAAATGAAAAAAATCAGCAAAACAAGTCATGAAACGTTTTTAAAAATTTGACAACATATGCAGTATTCCACACCAGTGGGCCCCCTACCTCAGCAAAGGAGTATGGGGAAGTAACAGTCAACTCCAGTTGTTACGTCCCTGCTATGTGCCAGGTATGCACTGGGGATACCAAAAAAAGGCAGAAGACAGTCCCTGCTTTCAAGGAGCTCACAGCCTTACCGAGTCTTCTCATGTCTCTTCTTTAGGACCGCGCTTAGTAATTTTGCAACATTTGATTTTGGTCGTTTGGTTATTCGTATACTGTGTGTCTTGTTTTCTTGGCTCATTTTCAATTGCTTCATCAGTTAGTGTACGTCTTCCTATGATCCTCTGTATTATATTCATTTTTTGTTGTTGTTGTTCTCCAATCATTTCAGTCATGTCTGACTCTTCATGATCCCATTTGGGGTTTCTTGGCAAAGATCCTGGGTGGTTTGCCATTTCCTTCTCCAGTTCATTTGACAGATCAGGAAACTGAGGCAAACAGGGTTAAGTGATTTGCCCAGGGTCTTGCAGCTGTAAATGTCTGAGGCCATATTTGAACTCAGGTATTCCTGACTCCAGGCCTGGCTCTATATCCACTGCCCTCTGGAGCTTTTAGCAGGCCAAGCTGGACTTTGCAGAAGAAAATGTACAGTTAGCTTGGAAAGGTGGGCTTGGAAACAAAAGGGCTCATATTTTATCCAAGAGGCAGTGAGGGGAGCTCCTTGATCCTTTTCCCCATCCTGAAGAGGAAGGTGGAAGGTGTATTGGGGGTCAGCTGGGCTGGGGTGAGTAAGAACAGCTTCCAGATGTTCAGACCCTGGAGTCCCCATATCATGCTTTGTGGTGATTCATCTTCAAGGGTTCTCAAAGGCTGTTTCCAGCTCAGTCAATTTAAATGGTTAAACATAATAAAAATTATAATAATACCAGCTGACATTTTATATAGCACATTAAAACCAAGTGCTTTATGTAACTTTTCTCATTTGAGCCTTACACAGTTAGGTACTGCAGTATTATCATCCTTACTTTACAGATGAGGAAATGGAGTTCAGAGAGGTAAATTAACTTGTCCTGGGTCAGTAGGTATAGAGGCCAGATTTGAACCCAAGTCTTTCTGACTCAGCTCTCCTTCCACCACTTGGAATGGGGGAATCTGGGTACCTTCTAGCAAAGAAGCTAGTGGCTGAGTGCACCAGCAGCTGCGAGTGGGGATCCCAGAATCAGACACGTCAGAGTTGGAAGACCATCTAGTCCAGGGGTGGGGAATCTGCGGCCAGTCACAGGGCCGCACTTGAGGACCTAGAGGGCCACATGTGGCCTCGAGGCCTCAGGTTCCCCACCCCTGGTCTAGTCCAACCCATTTCTAGAAGAAAGATCTTGTGACATCCTCCAGAAGTGGCCATCCATCCAGCCTTTGCTTGGAGATCTCCACTGAGGGGCTCAGGACTTCTTGGCTGGCCTTGCCCTCTGGCCTTGGGGTAAGTGATAATTGTTCCATAGCTTTTTTTCTGGAGTTAACCCTAAATCAATCCTCCTCCTGCCAATTTCCAGTCATTACTGTACCTCAGGGGCCAGAGAGTTCAGTTGACATCATCTGGGTCATTGCCTCTGTGTCTGAAGCCTTTTCCAGTTTACAAACAGTTTCGGAAGGTTCATTGATTGCTCTGCCTCCGGCCTTTCCTTTGAATGTCCTTATCAGGGTTCAGATTAAAAACTGGGGGAAGGAAGAGAAGGGGAGCCTGGCTGGGGAAAGGGGGAGCTGCTTGTGTGTCTGCAGGTTTCTGTAGCTAGAGCCTCCCTCCAGCTTCTTGTAGGCTCTTTGCCTTCCCAAAAGATGGAAAGAAACCTGGAAGGTCCCTTTTGGGGCATAAAACATAGACTGACAGAGCCAGAGAGGTATAATATGTATGATATATGGCTAAAGACCACATATCTAGACAATTAACCCCTCTCCCTACTTTATAGATTGAGAAACTGAGGCCCAAAGAGGAAAGGCAATTTTACAGTAAGTCAGTGACAGGCAGATGACAAAGAAATTTGACAATGTCACTAAGTGTATTGGCCCCTCCCCTCCCCCACAGGGGCCAGCTTAGCCTTTTTCCTGTAGTGAGAGCCTCAGAAATTTGTCCAGGAGTTTTCAGTCAGTCTTTCTTGATCAAGCAATAGAAATCCCTCCATCCCTTTAGCCATTTCCTGAATCTTGTGTCATGGGTATTGTTCCAGATTTGGAGTCAGGAAGACCTGAGTTAAAATCCTGCTGCAGACACTTAGTAGCCGTGGGATCCTGGACAAGTCACTTAACTGCTATCTGCCTCAGTTTCCTGATTTGTAAAATGGGGATAAGAGAACTTAGCTCACTGGGGATGTTGTGGAAATCAACTTAAACAAGGTGTATAATGCACTTTGCAAACCTTAAAGCATTCTATTAATGTTAGTTATCATGTAAAACTGTAAAGTGGGGGTGGAGGAGAGGATGTTTCCCCTGTACTTTGCTCAAGATGAAGCTGTGCACATGGTAAGAGTGCTGGGCAAATGCTCATCAGGTAGTTATGCAACATCCCTTCTGGCTGGATCAGGGCTGGCTGCCTTGTGTCCCTAAAACCCCTGAGAGTTGTACCTCTTCCCAACCCAGGAAAAGAGGTAGATAATGACTGTCACAA